TGACAGGCCTGTAGTTCCCCAGGTCCTCCATCCGGCCCTTCCTGTAGATGGGTGTCACATTTGCTAACCTCCAGTCAATTGGGACCTCCCTGGTTAGCCAGGACTGCTGCTATATGAGCTCCGTGAACATTTATGCCAGCTCCTTCAGCACCCTTGGGTGGATCCCATCTGGCCCCATAGATTTGTGTGTGTCTAAGTGGTGTAGCAGGTCACTAACCATTTCCTCTTGGATTATGGGGCCTTCGTTCTGCTCCCTGTCCCTGTCTTCCAGCTCAGGAGGCTGAGTACCCCTAGAACAACTGGTATTACTATTAAAGACTGAGGCAAAGAAGGCATTAAGTACCTCAGCCTTTTCCTCATCCTTTGTCACTCTGCTTCCCCCTGCATGCAATAAAGGAGGGAGATTCTCCTTAGCCCTCCTTTTGTTGCTAATGTATTTATAGAAACATTTTTTATTGTCTTTTACAGCAGTAGCCAGATTAAGTTCCAATTGGGCTTTGGTCCTTCCAATTTTCTCCCTGCATAAGCTCACAACATCCCTGTAGTCCTCCTGAGTTGCCTGCCCTTTCTTCCAAAGGTCATACACTCTCCTTTTTGTCCTGAGTTCCAGCCAAAGCTCTCTGTTCAGCCAGGCCAGTCTCCTTCCCGGCTGGCTTGTCTTTCAGCACATGGGGACAGCCTGCTTGAACAATATGGGCACGTGTTGTTCTGAAGAGAGAGGGTGATCCCCACTGCTAGCCACCCAGCTGCAGGTAGGAGTCCACGCCTCAAATCCCTGTTACATTAGATACTACACAACTCTTCTGAGCAGAACTGACAGATATACACCTTCCTGTCTTCCTTACTCTTATCCTCTCCCCCCCTTATCCAATAACTTGCATGTTGGGGCATTATCCTAAGAAATGGGATGGTGAGGAACAAGCCAGGTCTAAGGCAATGCATAAATTAAAAGCCAGGTCTCTTAAGTCCTGCTGCCTGCCCTTCACACCAGGTTACCCCCAGAGAAGCTATTAAGGCAAGCATCCCTCTTCCATCCTTTTTTTAAACCAAAAATTCTCATCTCATCTAAACCAAAATACAGTTTCGATCCAAACATTTCACTGAAACACTTGGATTTGTCAAGACCCTGAAGCAGGATCTGGTGGGAAGGTCCAGGCAGCTTGGAGTGCAGCTGGAGGAGAACCAGACAGGCAGGATGCAGGAGGCACACCCCGCACAGCTCTGCCATCACCACTGGCCAAGGGAGTAGGTTTCAACACAATGTGGGCACAGCCCACAACACACTAGGTTAGCAAGCCGCCCTGTTTGCTTCTGGTTTCTACTTTTCCTTCACCCAATTTCCCCTCTAAAGGAGCCAAACAGAACTTTAATTAGTTCAAGTCACCCTGCCACAAAGAATCACATTAAAAGCCATTAACTGACACAAGAGCAGGAAGTTAAGTCATCACCACATGGTTTGACTACTTATTACCAAATTCCAAGGAATATTTCCCAGTAAATCATATACCATATCTGCAAACAGAGCTTCCAATTGGAAGTGCTTGCAAGGGATGAGCAGGTGTCTACAGCTGCTGCTTACTGCTATCCACTGCTTTTCTCAGCGCTAAGAAAGAATAAGTGCATCTGCACCTACCACCTTCAAGTCTCATAAGGAGCAAAGAACAGAATTTCCACTTTTGTAAAAAGAAGTCATTAGGAAATACAGTGCAACTCGAGTGAAATCTATACAAACAAAAAGCAGCTGCCTTCTTGAGGACAAAAGGATGCTGGAACAAGAATCTGTCTGCAGTTATAGTCAAAAGTGTGAAAATGGTCAAGATGCACCTTGATTGCACAGGGACAAAAAGCAAAAATGAGATCTGCACCAAAGATGTGATTTCAGACTGATTTAGACCGGCCTAAAACCCTGTTGTCACCGAAGTAAGCAGCCCAAGCCCTGGATACCTTTCCATTCTCACTCCTTCCTACTGCTGGGCTGGCAGTCAGACCAGAGACACAACCTAGCTAAAAAACAGTTCTTTTCTTCATGCTGTGCTAGTTTTAGTTTAGAGTTCCTGCAAATGAATCACACCTTCCACATTCAATAAACCTTAGCAGTCAACTTTTGCCGCCCCTCAAATGGTTGTAACTGAAGCCTATATATTTTAACAAAGTGACAGAAGCATACAGAAAATGTAGCAAATGCCTAGAAAAAGTATTTCCTGCAGAGCAGTTTCATCACTGTATCATATTGTGCTGCACACCTTGTACACACACCGTTCAGAAACACCAGGTTTTCCATGCTATACCAACTAAACAAAATTTAACTATCTTTCAATTGCTCTGCCTAGAATTGCACCTATCCATTTTCATAAACACAAAGATTCACTACATTCAGACTTTCTGTGCTATGGAAGCAAATAAAAAACCTAAACCCCCAGAGGAGAACATGCACAGGAGAAAGGTAACTCCAATTGCTGCTTCCTTCGTGGACACAAGTCCCTGCCAATACCAGACGTAAGAGAAACCAGCCAGTTCACAGGCACGATGCTGCATAGCAGTCAGAGAGCCCTAACAAGGGGTTGCACAATTACGCACAGAAACAGCACTCCTAGGCAGCTGCACCACTTCTTAAGGGTGCACCATGGAGGGTGCAAAACTCAGGACTTTGGAGAGTCAAGATCTTTGAAAAAATCAAGGAGCCCAGTGCTATCAAAGACTACAGAGGGCTTTTGTGGGTGACAGGATTAGGCACCCCACAAGGCTGAACACAGGCACTGTGGAGAGGAAGATGCCTAGGAGGAAGACTGTGAGCAGAAAAACCTATAGACCAGCATTCATGTTGTTCCTATAAATCTTTGACTGGTATGTGAAAATCTCCTTTCCCAGCGCACTCTCTGCAACCTTACTTCTGGCCCGCAATGCTGTGGCAGAACTGCAGGACTGCTGGTTCTGTCTACCTCTCCCCTGAGACAGCAAACACCAACCACTGCCATATTTCAGGGTTGTGGGGATTATTTGCTTTCTGAGAACATGACTGCAGGTGCTCAACAGTGCAGAATAATTTTCTTCCTACTAAATGAAGACCTAAGTGTTTTTTCAGTTGTTCTTACCAACATGAACTTGGCCTGTCCTCCAACAGCCAGGAGCAGATCATCACCACTCCACTCCACAAACCTGGAAATTTCCTGTTTACACACATCTCCATCCTTGGGCAATACCCTACCAGGGCTTCCAACTCATTCCCACTATTTTTCTCATTCTCATTAACAGCACACAAAACCCCCTTAAACAAACAAACCAACCCAACTCAAACCAAAACAAAAAACCCACAAAGCACGTACATTAAATGCCAGAAAGCATGTTGCTTCCAGTACAGTAAGCATTTTAAGTTCTTAACTCCCCTGACTAGAAAGACAGTGAAAACAAATGTTCAAGTATTTTGCCAAATATCTTGAAAAAAATAAACAAACAAGCCTGACATTCTGTGAAATCTTGGTTTACCTTAACCTTCCAAGGAGTGAAATGCTCTTTGTCAGTTATACAAGTATCTCCTCTAACCACATGGCTATGCTGTGGAAGACTATCAAAATGCTAAGTGCCAACATTTCAGCTGAAGCGTTTCCTGTAAACAACCTCCTCTGGCAACAGAGAGCATGCGAAGCCACATTTGCAGCAGCTATCCAAGCTAACTTTTGCTGCTTGGTTGTTTGCTAAAGCTCCAGCCCTGGAAACATCTCACCATGAGTGCAGCCCAAGTGGCATGCAGGACCTCTGTGCATGTTCAGAGTCAAAGTCACTGAGAACATTTAAAAGGCCCCCACCTCCATCACTGTAATGCCTAAGCAAGTTTACCAGATAATCATCAACTGTGCCATACATAACCCCCAAAGGACAAGAGGGTTACATGTAGATGGGGAACAGAGCTTAGAAATGTTAAAAGACGAAACCCAGAGGTCTGTAATTTCTGCCATTTCAGAGGAGTCAAACTACTGTCCTGAGCAGGTGACCCCAGTCCATAGCTGGCATCTCAGAAGAAATCTTTGCTAGAGCAAAGAACAAATTCCCATCTGAAGTGTCTCTGACCAGCAGCTGATCCACTGCAAAAAACTCTCCTCAGAGTACTGTTCCTTTGACATCAGTGAACCCCAATTTCTCTTTGACTTCAGATTTAATAATCGCTAACAAATGGGACTCCAGAGAAGGTGATACGGCTTTCAAAGTGTAAACGCCTGATTCTCCATTCAGCAAGTTGAAAATAAAAACATAATTGAGATTATATTAATGTTTCTTTGTGACTTCTTGATAACTTATTAAAAAACTCTTTTGCCTAAGCTTCTACCTTCAAGCTCCAAATTTGAGCCTAAGCATCAAAACTATGGGAGTAATACAACTTAAGGGCTTTTGTCCCTCCAGCTTCTTACCTCTGTTCCTCTGAGGTCTTTGGGATAGTAAATGTCTTCAGTCATTTGAACACTTAGGCCAAAATCCACCAAAACCGCCTTAGTTGACATAAAGACAATGTTGCTTGCTAAAAGAAAGATAAAAATGACAACATTTCAGTTTCTAGCACTTTTGGCATTTATTTTACAACATGTCTGTTTCATTTGGACATTAGCCTGAAAATGGAGATTAGCATAACCAGTCTCTATAGCCAACACAGTCCTTCTCCTAGCCAAAATGAGTCTGTTAGTGATTGGGTCCAATTTTAAACCATCCCTTAAAAATAAAACATACTGGTTTATGTAAAAGAAGAATCAATGTTTGGTCATTTTCCTAGCTTTAAAAAAAAAAAAAAAGAAAAGAGAGAGAGAGAGAAATAGCTGAGGGTAAAGGATGAAGGTGGAAGACTGGTAGGCACCTCAGCACAGCAAGGCTTACTCTGCAGATGTTTAATGGTCTCCAAGGTGAAGAGCATGCTGTGCAGGTCTGGCTCTAAACAACATAACTCTTGGTCACCAAGAGGCTTCTCTACACTAACGATTTAAATGAAGACAGAAGTACAGAGTGACCGAGTCCTCTCCACAGCAGCCACACCAGTCTCCTGCACCAGTCAGCAAACATGGCTCAGCGTGATGACAGAGGACAAACTATGGCTGCAAAAGTAATAAAAGTCAGAGAGTTCCAAATTTCCGCTGAATTGCAGCAGTATCTAGGAGCTTAATTCACTTTCATTCATAAAACTCTGCCTAAGGCACAACTTTGTACTCAGAGGCTTTCTTTGCAGCTGTATTTCTGATCAAATATTTATCAAGGTAGTGCTCTGTGTAACCCTTGAGAAATTCTTGTTTGCTGTTTCAGAAGATGTGGACAAATGAAGTCTCCAAGTTACACAACAGAAATACATTTTCTCCCAGGGAAAATTGTGGGTCATTTTCCATCTTGACAGTGCCCACCATGACCATCCAGTGGGAAGATGTAGCCTTGATTTCAGTGGTCCCAGTTCCTGAGACAATACTTCACATAGCTGCCTCCTCAGCAGCACTACAAAACTACGTAAATAAATTTCTAATTTTAGGGATACCTTTGAAGATATGAATTTTAAACACCACATAAAGGACAGTGCAGAGGGCCAAACTGCCACAGTGCAGCAGGCTCTGCTGCCTGCTTGGGACTGTACTCAGCCAGAGCTTTGGCTGGTTTTGGACTGAAGTTCCCCCCACCAAATAGCTTTGTGATTTAACCGCTTTCTAACCAAGGGTTAAAACGAGTGGCAGCACTGAACTGCTCCCAAGAGCCCACAGAAGTTCTTCTCCCCTTTCTGGCTCAGGGCAGTCTTTCTCTCAGTAAAATCCCCATCTCCTCCTGCATCAGCAGGACAGACGCTCAATAGCAGACAATGAAGTGAGGAAGAAATCAGAGATGTTTGGGAAACAGCTTTTTCTATCAATTCTGCCCAGCGAGGGAAACAGATACCTCAGCTCTCTCGGGTGGAGGCTCCCTGGCCAGGTGGCGGACACGGCTGCCATGAAGGGCCCGGGCTGCCCAGCTCACCCCCTCAAACCAAGCAGCTCCCTGCAGGCAGGAGCACAGCCTGGGTTCGCGCCTGGGTTCGCACCTGGGTTCCTCCAGGCCTGGCGGCCATCAGCCTCCGGCGACCTCCGCCTCAGCTCCTGCCCTGCACCCAGCAACGCACAAAAAGGCTGGAAAAACTCAACATCCACAACATTCACAATAGGCTGGTTCTCCTATCCACTATCTAGATGTAGTAGGCTGGGTTTTGGCTGGTTTGTTTTTTAAACCTTTTAATTAATGTCATTGTTACTGCCAATTACAATAAACCCACAGAAAAGACTTTTACTACGAGCAAGAAAGCACAACTAAGGGAAAAATTAAGCAGTTTTATACTTGTCAGAATCTCAAAGGCTTACATATAAAGTACTGACCCACATTAACTAAAAAAAATGCAAAACCGACATAAAAATTTAGCAATTCCTGATAATCACCTTCTGCCACCTATTTATTGTAACACTTCGGTTTGAATATTTCTGTTTTAAGTTTAGCAAAAACTAACTTGCAGAAGAAATACGTCTTCATTAGAAGCACTGTTACTAGAAAGGCAGAATTTATCTGTCTGTGGGGAGAGGTGGTGCTGGGAGAAACAGTATTTAATATAAAATTAAATGTAATGCATTTAAATTAAATGTTAAAGCAATTTAATATTAATGTATTTAATTTAGGTTTAATATCAATATGTTTTGATTATTTATACATGTTAATACCCAGAGCTTTTTAAAAGCAAATATATACTAAAATTTGCAGTAATTGTTGAAAGAAAAAAAACAGTACAAATTATGTATTTAGTTCCAAAGTATCTCAAACTGAGGAGCAGCCATGCAGAAACATGAAAACTAAAAAAGATGCAAGTGGAAGGTGGGCATGGAAGCACTCAGAAAGAATTTACGTTGAAAGAGGGAATCTTCTGACTTAACACAGACTGAGAATTTCACGTGTTTTCTTTAGGTTTTTATTTAAAATTGAGTTTTTCAAGAAAGGCAAAGGAACTATGACTTTCAAATCATCCTCTCCACGGAAGTGAATTAATAAATAGTGTAAATCATAATTATCTCCAGAACCTGACCTTATAATTTGTTGAGCATTATCCATCCATCCCTCCCTCCCAGAGTTGCGAGGCTACGTCCCCCAGCTCAGTCCCAGGTTCTCCATCAGAGCCCCTGCCCAGCCTAGACCAGAAAGCCCCCCATGGAATCACACACACATACGTTTGATATCATGGTGGATAATCCTCTTGGAGTGGAGAAAGTCAAGTCCTTTCAGAATATGCTTTGTCACCCAAATGATTTCAAATTCTCTCATAGGACCACAACTCTCCAGCTTTTCCATGACAGATCCTCCCTCTCCGGCTTCCATGAAGAGATGGATTGTCTCATCCCATAAAATAGCACCGTATAATTCAGCAATGTTTTCGTGACGGAAACATGCCTGTATTTCAACATCTGATGGTTTGAACTGTTCCACTGGGACCTAGGACATTGAAACAAAACCACAGAAAAGCAACTTAAAAAACAAGTTATCCATACTGACACTAGTTATCCTATAGATTAAAATGGAAGAAGGAAGCGAAGCAAAGCACTTGTTAAAATACGGAGATTTATTTTGATGCTGTGACTTCCTTTGTTCTTCCTTTCCAGTTGAGATATACCCTGTTTAAAGTTGAGAGAGTTTTTGGAATCATGCCCAAAGAAAAAGTGCAACCTTCCAGAAAAAGCAATGTAGCAAGAGTTATTCCCGTCAAAATCCAGTGGTTACGCAAAAGCTCTATGCAAACTTCCTGGTGAAGGTGATAAAAATCCCGCTGCTGTTTCCATTAGCTTTGCGCACTCCCATCTGCTCGACCAGAACTATACACCCATCTGACACGTGGATCAGTGCTTGCAGCACTCAGCACGGTCTACAGAATAACCATGCTCAGGACCATTACTGACCTCAATTCAATCCTTATCAGCACTGTTTTATGGCTTACAAGAAATTAAACCTGCTTTAAAGTGAGCACCTGATAGCACTATATTTCTTTAAAGAGTACTGACAGCAGATTGCTAAGACAATAAAAGCAGTGTTTGCTTACACACGGAAAGGCTACTACCGCTCTTTTTATTCTCCTTCCCTCAGACTTGTGGCTGTGAATCAAATAAGAGGCTGATATTTTTATTGCAATAAGAAATACTGTTTGTATTTTCAGAAACATTAGGATGCTTTAATTCTGCAGAGGGTCATGCAGGAACAAACTAAATCTGTCCCCATGTGGATACACTGGCTGCAAGGGAAGGACATACAACCACCTCCCCAACTCTTTCACACACAGAAGTAATACAGGTACTTATTCATGAGCCGAGGGATACAGAGCAATGTCCCAGCTGAGCTATCACTGGCCCTAAATATTTACTGCTCAATCTAGAATAGTATGTTGAAAAGTAAAGTTGAAAGAAAATGTTGGTTTGCATGATAATAGGGGGGTGTTCAGCAGTTTTATTTAGACATCTCACAACATTAAGATCAGTCAGTGCCGAAAACACAATGAGAGTTGCACATAAGCTGAGCTCTCAGGGACATTAATGGCACTGAAGTAAAGAAAACTTAAGTCTGAGGACCCCAGTTAAAGGAGGAGATCCTAAAACCATATGCAGCAACCAGGTTTTGCTATCACCTCCAGCAGGGATGTGATCTTGTCTATTTTACCACCACGAGTACAGCAGGATAAGTAGAAATTCTTCTACCTCTGCACCACAGCCCACACTGCAGTTATACATACTTCCAGATACTTTGAAAATGCAGGAACTTCTGCAGTCTTAGAGTCAAAAAATTAAAACAAGTTAACAGTTAAAAACATGCATTATTCCTGCCCTGTGTAGGCCAACAAAACCAAGACGATCATCAGCCTAACAGTGGAATTTGACGCAGACATATTTGAAAATATACTGTATGTACTATGTCATACAATATTTGCTCAGAGATAAAACTACTGAACTAACATACCAGTTTGCATGCCATTCGTTTCTTGGTTTCTCTATCTTGGGCTAAGTACACCTTCCCAAAAGCTCCCCGAGGAATAAAATCAGAGCCAATGTTCCTGTAAGTCAGCTTCCATGGAAATAGGAGCACATCCGAGTCGATTTGATAGCGCCCATTCTTGGGTGTGATCTGTGGAGTTAAATAAAAAAAAACCCACAATGAAGTTAAAACTACTTCAAGCCTAGTTAATTTTATATATGTAGTGAAAAAAAATATATATCATTTATATATGTGCATGATGCATGCTCTCTGTTCAGCAGTCTTTATTTAGAAACACCAAATGGGAACAGCATGTGAGGTGTGGCATGCATTCACAGCCCAGGCATCCACGTTTCTCTCCAGTGACTAACTTACAAAGTGTAAGTTACAATTGTCTTGAAACAACAACAGCAGCTGAGTTACTGAAATTACCCTATACTCGTTATTAGATTTACCTGCACATGTTTGTCCTTCCTGTAATCTCCTAACTTGTTATGCCACATACCTGTTACTCACAGGCTATCTTATATGATGTGAGCAAGAGTTTCAGCATTTCCTAATATCACATGTACTGCTAGGGGAACACATTTTAATTTTCCATCTCGTAACAGAGTTTCTGCTGCTTAGTAAGAGGTCGAAGAAGTCTGCTGTGATTTTACCTGTCACCTTCTTCTAGTTTTGTACTGTATTTAAAAAAAAAGAGCAGCAGTCACTCTATCTGCTTTAGGTGGGTAATGTTGGGAGCTTTGGTTCTCTATACCATCAACAAGGCAAGAAGGGCTCCTCCAGGAAGCGATTCAGAGCATCTAAGTCAGTATCTTGCTCTAAATCTTCCGAAACAGCTCCCTCCCTTTGCACATAACAGGGAGAGACCAAACTCCTCACAACAGCCATGTGAGTACTGCTTGAGGTTTGATGTTCTTTCTTCAATCTCTTAATATTGTCTCAGCTGAAGAATTAGTAATATTTCCTGTGAATGTGCTTCTAATTAAATCAGGGATATACAGTATTGTCAGTATGTGGAGTATCATTAACCTGTTCACTGCTACTTTATCAAGATTCTTGAAGATATGTAAAAGCAGATCAAAGATATTTATCACATGTCTGTCACATGGCCCCATGTACTCAGCTCTTCAGCTACCATTTTTAAGATAACAGCATATTAGGAAGATTATTGGGTTTAGATTTCTTTTTAAGATGTAACGCACATAATCTTTCTGTGCTTTATCTTCATGTTTTTCAATTAGGAAAGTATCTTCTTGATGGCTAAAACTGTTATTTGTGACTAGTACCTACATGAAATAAGTTAATTCTTTGAAGTTCTTAATTCTGGGGAGGATGAGTTCTTAACTGTGTAGGGGGGTGTATTTTAATAAAAAGTATTTTGCTTAGGATTTGCAGAATGAACATCCCCTCTACTTATCAGAACCAAGGTAAATACTCCAGGCAATCCGTACATCTCACCTGCTTGTGTTTGCATTTCAAGGGGTTGAGACTAGCTAATCCACATGGGACTATCCTGGAAAGTAACATAGATTGAGTGGAGTGGATTTGCAGAGCAAAAGAGCAACAACCACCACACTATTCAAGTTTCCAGGAGGCTTTCAGGACCAGTTCCTAGCCTGGTCCTGTGGAGTGAATGCTTGTTTGTGGCTGTAGCGCATCCTCCAGTTTAGTTTCAACTGAAAGGAATCCAGGTTGTGCACTCCAAGACCCTCCGTGATGTGAGCCAAGACACCCCCAAGTCACTGGGGGTCACCAGGCAATCAGAAATGCTCCTGATCCTAACTAAAATGCTGTAGACATTTACAGCGTAGATGCACCTGCTGAAATGCACGTACAGGTAATGCCCTGCCTCCAATCCTCAGTTGCTTAATGGGATCACGTGCACCTAATAGTACTTTGTTCATACCAATTGTACACATCTGTAGAAACAATATATAAGCAATGCAATCATGAGCATGTAGAACAGTGTCTATCCTAAGTATAGGAAACATTTAATATTAGTAAGTGGCATTTCAATGTTAGAGTTTAAAAGTGACTGTTTTGCAATACTGCAATGCTCCCTCCAAATCAGAATAAAGCTATACCCTGTGCTATTTCACGCCTGAGTAACCAGTAAGCCTCAAGAAATCAATGTTCACAAATAAAACATATTACATGCAAGATAGTTAAGATGGTAGATGTAGAACATCTTAAGGGAATAAAGCATCAGCACAAACATATATGAATAAACTTCCATTTCATAATTGATTGTTTCCAGAGCCACTGATTTTAAATAGAAGTCCAATGACACTGGTATCTACAGATGCTTGTAGAACACAAATAATTCCAGGGAAAAAATGAACATATCTCAAAACAATGCATCTATACAATTTAGCAGTGCATGATATTACATAATATTGTAACTCTGCAAGTCACAGTTGATACTATATGCTTTTTCTCCTTTCATTACTACTTTTTACGTTTTGTGCAGATAGAGTGAATTCAGCAACTATACCAAAATAAACCCTAGACCTTTATTTGGGAGTTTTGCGTAATGAACTCTTTTTACTGCATGAACACAAGGCACTGGAAAGCTCTTACCATCTCCCAAGTCTATAAGCCATCATAGTTGTGGCTTCTGCTTTTTTACTGCATGTCTCAAGTTTGTATTCAATGTTAGGAAATGTTTTCTAATCTCCAGGGATACCAAGAGGCAACATAGAGTGGAACTTTCTGAACAACAGACCTTTCTCCATAGCTGCCTGAGACTGCAGGGGCTAGACTTGATGATCTCAGAGATCCCCTCCAGTCCCAGGTTTGCATGGGGAACAACAGCCTGATCGTTACTCCTGGGACTGGGGGTGATCTTTATTTAGATTGATTAAAAACTTCCAACTCCTAAGGTCTACTAGTTTTCAAGTAAAAATAAAAGAGGCATACCATATTCAAAAGGATTCCAGATTCTTGCTGTCTGCATCCTTTAAATTGTTTTGCAGTGTTCGACACCTGATTTGCAAAAGCAAGCAAGTCTTCCACAGTCCCGTATTTGACGGAGGACATCAAAGAAACCTCCCTTTCACAAAACAGTAAAGATTCTGCATGGTCTTCATTTTGATTTGCCTCTTCACACATTGTAATTAAACTGTCTTCATAGACTGCAAGGTCTTCACCTGGATAAAGGTTTTCCATGATGTCTATCACCTCAGACATATTTAAATTAGTTAGCAACAAGTCAATCTCCTCTTTGCTATCACTACCCGTGCTCATATACTCCATTACTGTCCACTTTGCAAAACCACTCCTGAAAAAAAAGAAACAAACAAACCTGAAAATACTTTTCACCTAAATTTGTTTTAGCAAAGTAAGAATGAAAAGAAGTGGGTGATAGACAGCTCATCATTATACAGTTAGATGTAAAATTATTCATTTGTATTATGAAGAAAATCATAATTAGTAGACTGGGTGAAGAGGAAATGAAGAAAAAATCTTTGCGAGTGAAATTTTATTTAGAAGTTATTGTGAACCTCCCCTGTTATTCATTCTTGGAATTTACTTTGATAAAGCTTTTTGTTAGAGGAAGTGGCACAGTAAGGAAGCACAAACTAGTTATATTTAGCTGGATATGCAAAAATTGTGTATTGAGTAACCTCAACATAAATGAAAGAATTCATTATTTGGAAATGAATGACAGAGATACATAAACATACTCAATTAGTTTATCCTCAAATTTTTATGAGCAATTTATGTGATGTGTCCAGAAAGAGGTCGTGGAGCAAGATTATTCCATAAAGCACAAGTCATTACCTGAGATACACAACCCATTCCATTTTGCAAATAACTGACCAGAACTAGACTTGAACTGAAATCTTCACCAGTTTCAGAATAAAGTCAGAAATTGAATTATCATGAAAGCAATGAGCTCTTGAAGTAGTTTCCTGCAGTTTTTTTCTGCCCTTACAAGTCCTAACAACAACTTTTTAAGATAAATCTTGACCATTTTGCTGAAGTGCACTTTCATTACAAGAAACTGGGTTCAACATCCCAAAAAGTCCTTTCCCATCCCAGTTTCCTACTTTAAGCCAGAGAGAGTTATTCTATTCAAGTTAAAAACATATGCATGGTCAGTCATTAAATACTTACACAAATAGTTTTCAACACGTAAATGTCTAGAGCACTTACCTTGTATTTATCCTGGTTACATCACACAAAACCATCAAAAAAGTCTCAGTAGAATCCCGAGAGTCGTCATGTTTCTTGAACCTGTATTTACCACGGATGATAATTTCACAGCGTTCTGTAGCAGTCTATTAAAAAAAGCAAAACAAATAAAGCCATGGCATACCAGCTCAAGCAGAAGGACTGGTTTATACTCATATGGTCATTTGCTTCACAGGCTTCACGGAAAGAAAAACTAGTAATCACAAGGCAGAAATAACAGGGGATTTTTCTACAGAAAAAGATGACAGCTCAAAAAAGAATCAAGCTACTGTATGATCATCCAGATTTCCAAGTAGTAATGAAAAATAATTTTTCCATGGTTAGGTCCTGAGTTTTATTCTCCCTGCCTCATGCTTGCTAACAGCAAAGAAGAGAAAGGATCTCCTTTTCCTCTAGCAGAGCTCAGCAGAGCATACCCTATTTAGAGAACTCTCACTTCCCTTTTTCATAACCCACTGCAACCATCTATTCTGGGCAAGAGATAACAACCAGACAAAAAGATACCTACAAAAAAAAAAAGAAAAAAGAAAAGCAGTGAGCACAACCTATTTATCTCAAGGACAAGCAGCAGCCTCGGTCCCCTGAGGCCATGAAGCGTGCCGTTTACCCAGGTACAGTTTCTGGTTACAATCATTATCTTTCTTACCCTCCCCACAAGGACATGGAAGCTTTGTGGCACATATTTCTCATGGGTTAAGAGTATTTACGTCAGCTCTAACGTTGAAGAAAACCGAGTAAAATGACGCGGCTGATTTGGCAAAGAAACTCAGACCACGTGCTGTCAGTTGGAAAGGCAGGAGAGGACATCTCAGCAGATGCAGCAGAGGAAAAGGCAAGGGCAGTGCCTGTGGTGCAACGCGCTCCTTTTCAAACCCCTGGGGTGGCGGTGGCAGAGCAGCACTGTGCCCCCCTGTCCCCCCAAGATGGACAGAGCAACTTTCACCAGCACTCTACACCAGCTCACCCAGCCTCAAGTCAACCTGACAGCACCCCTAGCATCAGGGCAGCCGGGTAGGAAACCTTGCCGTCACTAGCACTGCTTGAGCAGGGAGCACCCAGGCTTTGTATCTGTGGTGCTGAGAGAGGTCAGGTTTTTCCAACCTACGTAAGATATAAAAGATGCTAGGGGTGTTTTTGAACCCCTAGCATCCCACCTTCCTGCTCTATGCCCAAGCTAAAGGCTGTTAACAAAGCCTGAAAGTGTTTACTCTTTGTTATAAAGGAGATTTCTATTTTTCCCCACAGCAGGACTTTTATTAATTGCTTTTTTTCGGTGCTGAATTAGCGGGGGTGGAGAGAAAAGAAACAGTCCAGTCATAAAAGGAACTGAGAGACTGCATGTGTAAATTCAGGTAAAGTTAGAAACTAGTCCTGGGGGACTTTCTGAAGAAAAACATGAGCCTCTAAATACTCTCATCTTTTGTGGATAAAGACAAGAATGTACCACGATTAAACTAATTTGCTCTCCGATAACGTTTTCATGCATAAGGCATCTGTATAGTTTAGCCCAAATGCAGCTTTCCATATGTGCCAGCTCTGCTCTGTTCCTCAAAATGTTCCCAAACTACAGCACAACACTTACAATATCCTTGACAGTTTCACTACTACCCAAAAAGCTCTGAATAACAAGAAAAAGTGACTATAACCTGTATGTTCTCAGTTGTGTGCTTTCAGTGTCTGAGAAAACCTGCAAACCCTTCATTTTTCCCTATATCTAGCAAATTCTAAACACTAAATGTTTATGTAATGAGAGCAGTGCCTAGACTATGTAAAATCCATTTTTTAAATTATGCAGCAATTTATGTATTGTATCTTCCACCACTGGCAAGACATCCATTTGCTGACAGGGAATTCATTCTTCCTTTTTATCCCTAAAATTCTCTACTAGTATCTGTGGTGGGCACTCAGGTAATGTTCTAAATAATTCTATACAATTCAGGTACATGAAGAAATTACATCACTAAGTATGCTTTACTTAGGTTCTCAGTTGAAAAACTGTTTTTATCTACAGTGGAAAAATAAAACGAAAGGTAAGCACTTAAGTCAGTTGCTAAAGCACAAGACTCTTTCTCCAGTTCTGCCATTATTTCAACATCATCACATGAGTAATTTGCAAGCCAAGAGTTTATTTATCACGAGTAGCTTTTCCTTAAACCACTTTTTTTGAAAAGTGCACTGCTTGAGAGCATCCTTATAGCCACCATATTAAAATAAGAATAACTGGATATCAGACTTCTGAGCTCCTGTGGGATTTTTTTGTGTCAAGGATCAACAAAACAAAAAACCAAACAAAACCTACAATCAAAATTGGAAAAAAACCACGACAAACTAACCAAAAACTGCACAGACTGGCTCAACACAATCATATACTTATAATAAGGATTTCTTGCACTGCTTTTAGGGAATAATTTTCTGGTCTAAGTGGCAAGTAACTGTCCACCAGCAATGAAAAAAAAAGTCCTTATTTGCTTTTAAGAAAAGTTATCGACAGACCTTGAAAAACACAATCCCTTTGAAAAAAACAGTTCTGCTGTTAAGGGACAAGCAAGATCAACAATTTCAATTTCTACATCATTTCAGACTTCCACTTGGGAAAAAGAACGAAAAAAACCCCAAACCCTCCCAGCGCTGAAAGTGGCAGAAAGTTCCCCTTCAGCAGGGCGGTGTTTCAGGTTCAGTGCCTCCCTCCGGCCCCGCAGCCCCCCCGGGGACAGCACCGGTGCTGGCGACCAAACGGCTCCCGCGGCAAACACGATGCTGTTCAGGAGGATGAAGGCAGACAAGAACCTGCCCAGCTGTAACCCCCTGCACCTCCAT